AGCAGTTTTGTATCTGTAGCTGTTGCTTTTCCAACTTTACCATTTATAGGTGACACGCATGGTTTTACATCCACAATTGTCTGGTAGGTAAAGGTGGCCTACAAACTTTAAGGGTTTTAAGATTAATTTGCCCCCTCTCCTTCAATGGGAGCTTTAATTCTTCCCCGCCCCATTTCACCTAAACCTCAAAAGCAGCCTCTTTTGAACCTTACAGAGCTTTTGTACCATTTAAAGCAGCTCTATCTCTTAGTACCATCCAGACACCCTGAGGTTTACATATCTCAGAAGTAATTTTTAACTCCCTTGTCTAAAGTTTTGTCTGTCTATGGTGTTGGTTTGTTTTATTCCATCTGATAGTACTTCTCTAGGTACTCATGTAGTCGTCATACCTACAATATCTCGACTTAAATCTCCTGATTTTTCTGTGGGAAGCAAGTTATTTTAGTATTATTATTGCATTGTTTACTCAACTTGGCAGACCATGCAATAATTTAGTAACTGGTGAATGTATGCACCCTGACTTTAGGATAAAATTGCTGAAGTACCAAGGTAATTAGGATGTCTTAAATATCTACAAAAGGATGGGCTGGTCAGTCTACATTACACATACATTTTGAGTTACAGCTTTATTTTGGATTTTCTTTTTAAAAGTAAAATATTTGGCCTCTCCAAGGCATTTCTCTAGCACTTCTAATCCTTGCCACATCCTAGGAGGTAGGTAAGGATTGTATTCTCCATTCTGCAAACAGGGAAAACAAGATTGAATGGGCAAGTGACTTGCCCAAGGCTCTGCATGCAGTTTGTAGCAGAGCAGAGGTTACAGTTGCAAAGTTCCTGGTTTCCAGTAGTGTCTTCAGCCTTTACATTGTTGTCTCTTACCGTAATCTTACCGTTCTCTGAATTTATAGTTTGTGCTTTATATGGCTTCATTACAATTTTGTTGAGTTGTGGCTGCATAGGGGAATCTATCGATCCGGAATATCTTCTGCTAGGGTGAGAAATAAGTATTTAACTATTGGCAGCTGGCTCACATTGTCATGGCACAAGGAATAGGATGCTTTCTATCTGAGTCATGAACAACTGCAAGACAATTTTTTTAAGTAACGGAAACTGGCAGTGCTGTTAGTGTGGCAGCACATTTTTTATTTTCTCCTGAACTATCAACAGTCTTTTTGCATAAAAAATATATAACAAGAAATTCAATGAGGGTATATGGTAGCTGTACTATGGGGTTGAAGGGTTACTTGAAATCAGAATAAACAGTAGAAGTCTACCTGTGAGTGAAGCAATAACCTTTTGCTAAATGGCTCAGAAGAGTAAGTCAAAGTGCATTTGACTGGTTCAGTGGCTGTGAAAATGAATGTACACATACCTGTTTTCCTACCTGTTCATATCCCTAAAAAAATTGGTTTTTTAAAACTTCTATTACATGTGGGAAAGGTAGGATTTACTAAAATAATCTGTTAATCCTAAATAGGTGCTTCTGAATTAACATCTTCTTTTCCTGACTTTCCACAAATGGTATTGAAGGCTGAGCATGATGTCTAGAAATCTGGCCTCTTGAACTGTGGGCTCAGTCCTAGCAGTTGCCTCTGACTTTCACGCAATCAAGAAGGGCAAACCGAGTTTCATGCTGTGTATTGTATATGAGACTTTAAAGCTTATAATTCTGTATAGGATTCAAGGATCCCACAGCTTATTTGATGATTTATAACCATAACTAGTCCTTTCAGGTGCTTATATGGATGGATTCCAAATAACTTCAGAAGAAAGTTGGTTTCATTATCCCTATCTCACAGGTGGGGAAATCAAGGCAGACAGTGAGGAAGTGATTAAACTAAGAGGCCAGCAGAAAAGCCAGAAATAGAATAGAAATACATCAGTTCTTTAGTGGGCTTCTGCCATCCACTCAATGCTGTTGTCTGTTTATATGCTGAAAACCACTGGGATTATTTGCCTGAAAGTGAGATGATCTCAGTAGCTAAAACGTTTCATCCTTTTCTTTTCATTCTTTCTTCTTTTTTGCTTCTAGTTTGGTCAATAGTCTATCAGTAGTAGAAAGCCCTGATTTTATTTATTTTTTTATTTAAGATTTTGTTTTTAGATTTGTTTGTGGTAGTGTTTAAGACCTCTCTAAACATAATTGCTCAAGTTTCTGCTTATTATCTCTGATAATTTTTATCCTTTTTTCAGCTGCCTTAGCAAAGGATGAGAACTTTTTTGGTATCTATAATATCCCAGAATTTCTCAGTTACTGAGTTCCAACCAACCATCTTTCCCACACCCGCTTGAATGTCAGAGGGAGTACCAGAATATTACAGTGTGCCAGAACAGGAAGACTTAAACTGAGATGTCTTTTTTTATATCATGTGTATAATTTTAGGTCTTTGCCATCTGTTTTACCATGCTTTTTACTTTCTGATGATCCCAGCTACCAGACCGCCATATTGTCCACTTCGCTCTCGGCTTTTTCTGCTGTCTCTGTATCCCCAAAGTCAAACACAGTGGTAGGGGGATACTTCTGAAAAAGCAGGGGTGAATTCCAAGTGGCCTGACTTTGCCTCTGTAGGAACCTCATTCTAGGACAGCAAGGTCTCAAGAAGAGGAAACTCTCTAATGCTGATCAGATCAGTGGCTTAGGTGCTCCTTTCTTTTTTATTTCACTCCTGCTGATCTTTCTTGGGCCCCTGCTCAGAAGGATTCTCAGGATCCTTGTTGAAGGCATCTAATTCTCTCTGCATTGTGTACACGGTCTGAGTAAGGATTCCGCGAGGTGTTAGGTATTATGGGTGCATCCAGACGAGCAGAAATGTGTGCTTCCCTGGGGACAAGTAGCAGTGGCACACCTTCTGCCACTGCTACTTGTCCCCGGGGAATACCTGTGCTATGTGCACTCTGGCACGTGGCAGATTACCCTGGGTGGGGTAGGGGAAGCTGAGGCCAGCAACTGTGCTGGCCCCATATGTGCCAGTTTTACCTGGGGCCCTGGGGGCCTCCGGGAGCTGCAGCCATGGCACTTCTGTGGCAGGGAGCTTGGTCAGCAGCTGGAGCATGGGTCCGGCCAGCCAAGCTCAAGTTTCGAATGGTGCACATTGCCACCACATGCACCATCCCACTTTTTTTCAGTGTGGGTTTTTTTCACCCCAGGATCTCCCAGGGTCAAAAAACCCATGCTGCAAAGTAGTGGTGCAAGGAATGCCTGCATGTGCAGTGTGTGGCTCCACAGACGGGTCCGTGCTCGTCTGGGTGTCTGTGCTTGTCTGGATGTGCCCTGACACTTAAATACCCTGAAGTTTTAGCTCTAAGGGCTTGATCCTGTTTAAGAGCTCCATTTTTGCCATCCCTCATCTGTTAACATTAGCAAAGCTTCATGCAAGGGTGGGCAGGTTGCATCTACCTGCATAGAGTTCCTTGCAGGCTCACTGCTTAAATGTATTGTGGTCTCACTAACAGACCCACCATCTACCTCTGTGCCACACAAACCTGGATCAGTTAAAAATGTCCTCCAACTAGTATTGCTTATGCATATCCACTTTACAACCGCCAGTATGAAGCAGCAGCTTTAAATTATCCTTGGCGTTTGAGACCATATACAGGCATACCTCGGAGATATTGCGGGTTCGGT